AGGCTACAATGACAGATGGTGGTAGCTCAAATGCTTTTTGTACCTTCCCAATGAAAATTTTGCTTTAGGCTTGTGTGTGCATACATTTGTGCATGAATAATATAACAAAGGTTTAAGACAACAGTGTCAAACAAAACAAGATTAATAAAGGTTTTTTATCAAAATAATACTAACAAGACAAGAATATTTTGTTGTTATACAACTGAGAAGTTAATGGCTGCCACCTTGTAAAGGAACTTGTGACTTTCTCCTCTGCATCCTGCTTGGTACTCAGCCCAAATTCCCATGCAACCACCTCTGCAATCAGTGAAACCACCTCTGAGAATTACTTTAATGCAACAAAGCCCCACAACTCTGTATTGTATCTAAGCATAAGCATTAAAAAGAAAAAAAAAATCAAAACTAAACAAAAACAGAACCAAAGGAAAACAAACCCCCAAAACCCACAAAAAAAACCCAAACCAAAAATAAATTGTCAAAAAAAAAATCCCAACCAAACAAAAAAACAAAACCAAAACCAAAAACCAAAACCAAAACAACAACCAAAAAAAACCACCCAACCAAAACTAGGGAAATTTTAAAATTCTGAATTTTCTGAATTCTGTTGCACTGTGTAGCAATTGAGTCTCAGGCTTGTTCCTACCTCTGCTGTGCAGAGATATGCTCTCCCTGCTCCCCTAGGCAGAAGGAACAAGATTATAGTAGGGTTTCTAGTGAGGAAGTACCCAGGACTACCCCCCAACCCCCACCACCCCCTTGCCACAACTATTCTAATGTAAAGGTTAAAGGCAGCTGAGGAAATGGGTGGGGAGCTCTCCTTCCTAACATGTTTGTGATGGTATTCAAGTTTCAGCCACAATCTACAAGTATTAGCGCCACGCTCCAAGGTGGTCTGAACGCTATTACCTAGATTCTCTCTCTTGTGCTAATGGAATAATAGAATTGTTTGGGTTGGAAGAGACCTTAAAGATMATTTTGATCCAGCCCTAAAGTCATGGACAGGAACACCTTCCACCAGACCAGTTTACTYRGCCCCATCCAGCCTSGTCTTGAACACTTACAGRGATGGGACACTCACARTCAGTRCCAGTGCCTCACCACCCTCACAATAAAGAGTTTCTTCCTAACACCTAATCTAAATCTGCCCTTRAAGCCATTCCCCCTTGTCCTAWCACTACATGTCCTTGTAAAAAGTCTCTYTCCACTCTACTTGTAAGCCCCCTTTTGGTACTGGAAGGCTGCCATCAAAGAGTTATAAAAAATATTGAGTTTTTATAACTTTTTTATCACTTCCAGTGTATTTTAAAAAACAATTTCAGAAGTTAGTGTCAGCTGTTTAATTTTCCTCTATTTATTTGCATCTTAAACAAATAGAAAGACTTCTCTATTATGTTTATTAGTTTCTTCACAGGATACAACCAGCTTATTCAAAGCACTGTTGTTTGCTAAAATTTTCTGGTTTTGTCATACAGATGTGAGAACCGTACAGATAATATTCATTAATATTTCAATTTATTAAGCTAATTTACTGTTTGAGAGTTTTTACTCAGTTGTTTAGTAAAAAGGTTTTGCTTGAACTCTACTGTCATCTGGTGGTGACCAATGTTTCTGGTTCAAACACTCACATGAAAGTTTTCAAACTGAAGAATCTGGATATGACACAAATGCAGTTATGCTTCTTCTGCCTGCTTGGTACCAAATAATCAGTGTTTTCCCCACTAATTCACTCTGAGACATCTACCTCTGATCAAGAAACAAAGGCACTCAAATCAACCCTCACGAAAATGTTGCCCTTGAATACCTCAGTTTTCCTGTGGAATTCCTGAGATGTTACCTGTGTGAAAGTGTTTGATATTCAAGAGGATTCTGAAAGACATTAATTTGATATAAGAGATCACACTACGAAACAGACTTCAGTTTCTTCTGCACCACTGAAGAAAATTGAAGGTAATAGTAAGTGCTGACAACATATGTATGAAGCTTGAATTTTTACTATTCCCATCCCTTTAACTCATCCCTGTTTGTGGAAAGGGTGCTACACATGTACACAAATGAGTGATACCACATGATGACATTAGACAGAACTTGCTTGGATATCAATTGTGTGCCATACACTAGTCCTTTCAGCAGTTCAAGTTCTGTAGAACCAGTCCAGCTCCTGTGTTTTTTGAGGCAAACCACAACACAAGATGTATCTGCCTGTACTGCATCCCAGTGATGGTGTGATGCAGTAGCATGACACCCAACCTGAACAAAATAAATGCCACTTAACTTATTAGCTGCTCACATGCCCCTTCCTCTTAATGCCTGGCCTTGTTCTGGTCTCCCTCTCCCTGGCATATTTCTAAAGGCATATCTATTCCTAACTTCAGCATTTTAACCCCAACCAGATGCAGGCTGCAGAATACAGTGCAGAACATGATATTCAATAAATCCTAACCTAGAACATTAATAGGATCATGGTATGCTGGCACAACAAAGGCTTTTTTTCCACCAGAAAACCTGGCTGGACCAAATTTGCTTTGCAGAAGCTGTGACGGGATACCAGCTGCAGYGACAGACTGCTGTTTCCTACATCAAAAAGACAGTTCTGAAATCCAGATATGTCACCTTCTAAATTTTGGATTACTTCCTAAGCAACAAAGAGGCAGTGTGAATTAGTCAGTGCTGAATTTAGACTGGTGCCATTCAGCAGCTGCCAGTACGTGATCCCGTGTATTCTGAGCATGCAGGAGYTCACTATGGGCAATGGGCTCCCTTCTGCCCTGTGAGCTTTACATGGGCTAAGACTTTCCCCAGTGGTACTGAATCAGCCACAGCTCTGCCCATTTTCTACCTTGAAAATGATTCTGAATACTAAAGACAATGATACCAAACTTTCCTTCTTTACAGGTTTGAAGACATGTAAGTGAAGACTATTTTTATCCCACAAAAGAAAGAAATAATTCCAGCATTTTCTTGCAGGCAGCCAAACCAACAGACTTCCTTCGGAGGCTGTTGCCATGGCACCTGTCCAATGTCCATGCCATCTTCCAGATTTCTGAGTTCTAGTGAGATAGAAAGAGAAAAACAGGCACTAGATAAAAGGCACAGCAAGGTTCCTGGGAAAAATATGACTCCAGTTCAGCCTGTAGGATGTATTCAAACCATTTGAGTTAAGCAGTTTGGTTTTTTTGTTTTTTTTTTTTCTGAATGGCATTTCATCCATGGGGTACTGCAGTTTCTCTTTTGATTTCTGATAAGGAAGGCAGAATTGCTATAAAGTTTCTTCATTGAGTCAAATCAGGGTAAAATTAATATTATCTAACTTCAGCCATCTATGTTCCCAGCCTAAGGGGCCTGCCTAGRTTTGTCTTCCCATGGAGGAAGGGTTCTTCCCAAGGATAATTTTTTCACCTGACTTCAGACACCTAGTTTAAGATGGGATTATTTGAACAGTCTCTCCTTTTTAACTACTATGGGACCATAGATGGAGTAAATGCGTGGATTTCAGGTGAGGTAAAATGAATACAGGCAAAGACTTCTGTTATTTCAGAAACATAAATTGCCATCCAAAATGAAAGAACTGAGASAACAGCCTGTGCCACACCTTTCTGGGTCTGGAATCAGTGCTCCTGAAACCAAAATGGTTTTTTGCCCCATTCCTCAACTATAGCAGGGATCAACAGYCTCCCATCACATAAACTAGCACCAAAACAATTCCAACAAGAGGTCGCACTCAGAAACAAGTGAGGATAAATTAATATTTAGATAACCACATGAACATAGTTTGTCCAAGAGAGACAACACAGCAGGTCAGACACAGCTTCACTAATCTGGGGACCTTTGYCATGGGATTACCCCTTTTTCTGATCAATGAGATTCATGTCACAGGATTTCAACTCATGCATAGTGGCAGGGTTCCTCTGTTTGGCTTCTGGTGGGCCCAGACAGCTGTATTTTGAAAATGCTGCATTTTTAGTCAGTAAACCAGGAATAAGATATAGCCTGCCAGGCAAGAACATTCTTTCATCAAGTACTATAAGACATGTTACATAATTTTACAATCAAAGATAAATAGGCTGGCTACAGCATCAATTTCTGGCCTTATTTGGGATGACAGGGTAAGGAKCTGGTATTAAGACATAAATTTCTCCAATTTCTCTCTCTATGTGTTATTTCTCCTGAAATGAACTATCTCAAGATAAAATCGTATATAGATTGTGAGCCTAATGAAGATGCATAGTAGGCAGCCATGTGAGAACTTAAATGGTACTCATGAATAAAAGCTGATTTTCACAGAATCACAGAATATACTGAGTTGGAAGGGACACACAACCAGCTCTTGGCCCTGTACAAGACAGCCCCAAGAATCACACAATGTGCCTAGAGCATTGTTCAAACGTTCCTTGGACTCAGGCTTGGCGCTGTGACCACTTCCCTTTTTTGTGCCCATGATGTCCATTGCATCCTTTTGACTTCAGGCAGACTATTGTGGAGGGGGCTGGAGGAGAATGTGGATAAACAAATAGTGCAGAAGGGCMTGTTGTTTAAGGCAGTTTACTTCACAAGTTATGAATTACAAGCAGGAGTACCCTGTCCCTTAATTCTCATTCATTAAATATCACTCATTAGACCTCATTGCTCTCTACAACTACTTGAAAGTGAGGTGAGGACCAGTCTCTTCTAATGCCAATGGAAAGAACAGAAAAYGGCCTTAAACTGAGATTCACCTTAAGATTTTTTTCACTGTTCAGCAGTCAGAAATTGATTACCCAGGGAGTGGTGGACTCACTATCCTGGAGGTGTTCAATAGCCATCTGGGTCTGTGATGTTGTTTAATGGTTTAGAGATTACAGGGACAGTCCTGGGCAGACAAGCGGACTGGATGGTCTTGCCGATCTCTTCCAAAATTGACGATTCTCTGATTGTGTGACAGTAACTTCGCCGGCCGGTGAGCTGAGGCAGGAGCCCGGCAGTCCCGGGATGCGCAGAGCTCGGTGGATAATGCCCGCAATGCCCGCAATGCCCGCAATGCCCGCAATGCCGAGCTCCCCTCACACCGCGCCCGGGCCCGCGCTCCGAGCGGCCGCCCCCGGAAGTGCTCGCGGGGCCGAGGCGGAAGCGGGGCGGGGCGCGCTCTCTTTGGCGCTGGCGGCCGGCGAAGATGGTGAGTGCCGAGCCCGCTCTCGGGCCATCCGCCGCCATCCGGGCCGGGGGCGCCGCGGGGCTCGACCGGACCCCGCTGGGGAGGCTCCGGGCCGTGCCGCGGCCGGGCTGGGGCCAGGGGCTGGGGCCGGGGGCTGGCGGCGGGRCGGCTGCCGCACCGGGCCGGGCGGGGAGGCTGTGGCGCGGTGCGGGGCGAGCAGCCGGGCGGTAACGTAGCAGGAGAGGATTCTGTCGCCCAGGGTGAGTGGCGGCTGCTGTGTGTGAAGCGAGTTGCCTTCCCTCAGGAGAGAGCAGTTTGTTCCTTGAGAGTGATGAGCTGGGGAGGGGAGCCGAGATAAATGCGGCGTGGCTCCGTTTTACTTCAGCACAGGGGCGGGAGCACGTAAGAATGGCGCCAGTGGTTCCTGAAAATGGAGGCTACTTCTTGTTGAAACTGTGTTAAATGTGCCTCTGACATGCTTATACAACTCGGTTTGCGGTTGGTTTTTTAGTTTTGTGACTTGCATGCTTTATATGTTAGTATATGCTATATGTTAGTGATATTTCCAACGTGCCATGTCTTGAAATGCTTTTCAGACGAAGGGTACATCGTCATTTGGTAAGCGACGAAATAAGACACATACCCTGTGTCGTCGATGTGGGTCCAAGGCGTACCATCTGCAAAAATCCACCTGTGGGAAATGTGGTTACCCTGCTAAGCGTAAGAGAAAGTGTAAGTATCAAACTTCTAACTGGCTTCAGTTTAAAAAATATGTTTCTTTTCCATYAGTAGTTTTTCTTTTCTGGTCAGGAAGGAATATTGTGCCATTTTACATTTTGTGACTTTTTTCAATTWAACGGTGATTTAACTATATGTCAGGTAATATTCAGTATTCCTGCATAAAAACTGATTTGAGTTACAGTTAATTTTCTTTCTTTTGTCAGTTYGAGTAATTGTACCATAGAAGTGTAACATGCAACTTAARTTACTTGGTGCCGATGTGTAACAGTAATTTATATATTTTAGATAACTGGAGTGCGAAGGCTAAGAGACGCAACACCACTGGTACTGGTCGCATGAGGCACCTGAAAAAGGTGTACCGTCGATTCAGGTATAACATTGTATTACAGACTAGCATGGGGTGAAATCCTGCATAGACAGCACTTAATGGTAAAATTCACCATTTAAAGTTAGCATTTAAATTTTTTTTTTAGTACTAATTAATATGGTATGAKCTTAAATATATCATGAAATAAGTGATGCTTCGTATACATGGCTGCATATTCCTTTGAGAACGAAAAAACYTTACTGGTAAGAGAGAGGGTATATAAAAAGTTCTATGTTTCTGCTAAATGAAGGTAGTGCAGAACACAGAAGTTACTGTAATAAGATGCCGAGATCTGAAAATGTCTTGTGTGGTATTGCCTCTATTTGTCAGTCAGTTAAATAGRTGATTACACTACAGTTGTGGGATTTATAAAGATAAGTCTCAAAATGCATTCCAGTCCCCATTCCCTCACTCCACAAAAACTGTTCAGATAGAATAACTTCTGGGGCCTCTTTTAAGAGTTCAGTTAGCATTAAGTAGGTATTACTAGATCARATTCTGACTTGCAAATTTCTAAGACTTGTTACAAAGCTTCTGAGTTGTACTTAGGAGGCAGTGATAGGGATGTCATAATGCTCATTCTCATTTTGAATGACTTCCYGTGGAACTCTGTAGCTTCTGGTCTGCTACAAAAAAGCTGTCTGAAAAATACCTTGTAATTCAGGAGTGTTGTTGATAAAAATGTACATTTGGTTTATTAGCAAAAAGTACATTTTAAGTGTCAGTCCTCGTGTGTGGTTGAGGGATCAATTARTTTGTTCTGATGAGATCATTCTTTTCCAATGGCAGCCATAAAACACCTTGCAGTGTGCAACTGTAGCTTTCTTTCCACTGAGGGTTGGTCAAGTAGAAATGCCATACCCAAAAGGAAACTTGGGGCTGATGAGTCTGGTTGGAGGCACAGAGGATTTTTGTAAGAAATAGGCTTCACAGGACATCTTTGGCTATATTGTTTGGAAGGAACAGAACTCAAATGTGCTTTCAGTAGGTGTGCTGTGTCTGGTGYAGTCTGGTAGTGTTCACTCAGCTAATGAAATCTTCCTGTTTCAAGAAGTCAAATGTACCTCATCAGAAAAGAGTCAAAACCATACTGCTTTATTTAAGACAACTGTTAATAAAGTGTTTCTTCTTAAAAAGGTGTAAATGTAGGAACTCTGTAGTGATTTCAGTGCTTACTGAGATAAGCTGAAAAAAGCTAGTCAGCTTTATCTAAAACGCGACTGTCAGAAAATAACCTGGAGCAGGAATCAACTTTTCAAAAAATGGTAACTATATTTCTACTTGCAGGAATGGATTCCGTGAGGGGACCACACCGAAGCCCAAGAGAGCAGCTGTTGCAGCCTCCAGTTCATCTTAAAGATTCATCTATTTGTTAAAATAAATGGTCTTATTCARAAAATCTGTCAACTTTTTGTATCGTACTTTATTTTACTGAAATGCAATATTCCTGAAAATACATGAATACTTAGAAACACAGATTCTGAACTGATTAAWTTAAAACAATCCTTTAATTGTCTTTTCATTTAATAGTATCTCTGTCTTGAAAAGAACCATCATCTTTGCACTGAACTCAAAAAGAGGCTTCTCTGTGTTACTCAAAAGAGCTCCCCTGCCAATTGGTGTTTTTCTATGATGGATTTCTCCTATGTGCCTCTGAATCTCAGTGTACCCTAGCACAGAGAGGCAGACTTTTGTTTTAAAGATAGTAGCTGTAATAATGGCTCTATGTGCTGTCTTGGGAGGTACTGAGAGATTTCCARTACTGTTCCTTTTTCACTGCTCTCTGGTACTGGAAAGCCTGCAAAGGTACTATTTATTGTGTGCATCATTGCTTCTTGTGCAAAAAGAAACTCCYGAAGCTGGAGCACATATACTGCAAATGTAGAGGGGTCGTAGATTTGCTGTAGGTGAGACAAAATTGCTTGAATGGCCTGGTGGGGTTTGTGTGGAAAGCTGACACAAAGATCTTGGTTAACTCTGCTGGGTGTACATAATACCAAACAGTAGTAAATCACTTGGAGTTACATAAAAATTACTGATGGATGCCTTATGAATTTGTACCCTGCATTGTGTGTTACTGGCTTTCAAACTCACTTTAAGAAAGGTGCTGCTATCATGGTTTGGACAGTAAGCACTGTCAGGGTTTAGAGGARTTTCAGATGCTTTGCAGACACAATACTAGAAATTGAAGAATTTGAGATGCTTTAAGCTTCTGAGGCTGTTACTACTGCTCTTAAGTCTTGTCATGAACTTCCAGAAGCAGCATATTGCTTTGTCACTACTGAATGATGAGCCCTTAATGTATCACCTTCCACAAAATCACAGAAGAAATTTTCAGCCAGGTGTCAAATTGGAATGCTGCCAGTGCACTGTGTTGCATTTTCAAATGAATGAGAGTTTTTTGATACTCAAGTGTATCAACCTGGGCCGTTTCTAAACTGTAACAAGTCCACTCTTTTTYCCTACATGTAACAATGCTATATTCTAGTTTCAGCTGGTCAGTGTGAGAAACTTAAAATCTAAGTTTTGATGCTGACAAAACGTACCAGGCATGCTACTGGCCATATATTTCTAGGGCTAAGGAGTGCCTTGGAAATGTGGTTTTGGTCATGCTTGGGTAATGCATATATGTAGGAGGAATAAACGCATCATTCTCTGAGAATATACTCAAGACCATTGTAAAAACAGGTCACCAGGATTCTAAGGAAGGGTTTTTTGGTTGATGGTACAGTTGGATTAATGGCATGGCAGGTGTTCTGACTRTGGAGTGAAAGCCTTTGCTTGCCAAGTCTTACTTATCTTTCTATAGTGTGGGATTCTTTGAACAGCCTGTTGACCTGCAAACATAAAACACTGCAAGTGCTTAGCTACTTGTTGCTGTTACCTAGTAGYTTCTCATGAATTCTCCTGAAAAATGAACATTTGTTAAACATGTCACATGCCATGGTAACAAGGAAGCTTTCAGTGACCTGGAGTAACAGAAACTATTTCAGGAGGAATTTTACTGCAGCAATAATGAATTTTGACCACTATTGCGTTTTCAGTTCTAGAATTCTTGGTGGGAAGTCCGTTTTTTTTTCGTTTTTTTAGTCCTGTTCAGAAAAGATTGTGTAAGTCATGTGTCWGTTATAGTTGCACTGTACAGGAGATAGATTTTAATATGCTTCCATTCTTTGTACCATGTTTTTAAATGTTGAAAGCTAGGCTGCCTTGGTGGTTGCTCAGTTTATAATCTTTTATTGAGATTTTGTTACAAGCATTTTAACTCAAGGGTTATCAACTGAACCTCTGCATAATGCTCACTGGCACCTTAGGTCATCTCCTTTTTGTATACAGAAGTACTGTCATACACAGTCTGTAATGTGTGATTTTTGCATCCTTCATATTGATAGATTTGTCACAGTTGGATGGTGCAGTCCAAATTATATCAGAAAGCACATTTCATATTGTTCAGTGCATGTTTCACTTTTTAGTATGATGCCTGATGATTTTTCTTTTCCTTTTTACGCTTTCTGTACACTGTATGCATCTCCTGTACCCCTGAGCCCACATGCATGTAATTCCTGTATCCTGATATTCCAGCTTAGTTTAGGAGTTCTGCTGGACAGAGAGACCAAACATCCTGAGGAAGGGGTCAGCGTGCCCTGTGCTATCTTAAACCCGAGGCTCCAGCCTTGGGTGAAGCCTTGTCTCTGGAACATCTTGTGTGAACTGGGCTCTGGCCTCATCCGGGGGGGGGGATTCATTAGAATAGGGGGATATTATTGCATTTGTTAAGTTTCTTATTGGGGAATCCTAGATAGATATGCTAATTCCTGAAACCTTTAAAACTTGTATCCGTGCTGTACACGGGTGTGCATTTTGCCATCAAAGTGCACCTTGGATCCCAAATACRGAGGTTAAACCCTTTWTATCCCCTTAACCGTRTCTGTGTCATTATTARAAACTAGCCACCAAGGCAACCGTTTTTCTGGYACCTGAGATGGAACCAGGAGASCGAGTCCTAGCTCTGGGATCGAAAGCAGCATCCTGTCCTGCTGTACCTCTCCTTTGCTGGCACTTTGGGAGGGAAAGTAGCAGTCCGAGACCTGAGACTGGRAACTTCAAAGAAATCCAACWCAAGGCATGGAGAGGAGGTAAGATAAAAGGGGTACGGTATTTTTGCTAGCAAAAGGGTTGGTGAGGGTGGGTTTGTGGCCAGGGGGGCCCTGTAAAAAGTGGGGTTTTCTGTGGTAAGGAAATTTCTATTTCCCACGGGGTGTGGAAAGAAGAGGATGCTCTTCGCTGTATCCACACAGCCTGAAAGCCGCCACGGGCTCAGTGCAGCACGCAGCTAWYAGGCTCAGGGGCTGGGTCTCTCTGCTGGGGTGGCAGTGTGASACCCAGAAAGGGCAGGTTTCTTGCATGCMTRYGCTTCTGCTTTCTTTCTCTTGCAGAATAGGGTAGGCTGCAACTTGTAGTGGGGGGTGAGGTCGCAGGTTCGATTCTTGCTTCCAACTCTAGCTGCWTTTTCATTTATAAACAGAACATGGGGTGTGTGTCATCCTCTCAAAGTATTCAGATACCCCGTGAAGTCCCATGAAGTGTAATATTGAAACATGGGCAGGTTCTAACCGGGAAGAGAACAGCTCTGAWCACKGGGGAGTTAGTAAGACTCTGCACGTGTTTGGCCAGTTTTAGGTACTAGAATCGGAAGGAGATGGCCACAGTTTGGGAGTCTGGATAATGAGTTGATTACTGAGTTATTGGTGGAACTCAGAGTCCAGGGCAGTATGAGGAGYTGAGGTATGCAGAGTTGTTTGCAATATTCTTGAACAGAGAACAAGCTTACAGTCAACCAAAGAAAGGATGGTTTGAGATGGTTTTACTAAAGAGGAAAAAGGGAGGGGAGACACGGCCATTGACTGATAAAGCGGCTGGAACAAAGGAAACAGATATGACAGACTTGGACTTAGTGGGACCTGCCCTTCGGGGTGGGGATCTCCCCCTCCCGTTCAGCCATCGGCGCCACCAACACCCACCGGCGTGAGGAGAGGTGCCCTGCCGGATCCGGAGGCGGGATAGGGGCGGGGTGGGGGTGGGTTCCGCTGCCGCTCCAAGCCGCCCGAGGGCGGATCCGGGGGCGGGTTGGGTGTGGGTTCCGCTGCCGCTCCAAGCCGCCCGGGGGCGGATCCGGAGGCGGGTTGGGTGTGGTTTCGCCGCTGCTCCGGGCCGCCCGAGGGCGGATCCGTGGGCGGGAGAGGTGCGGCGGATCCTGCTGCCGCTCCGGGTCCCTCCGGGGCTGGGAGCCGGGGGGATTGGCCGATTGGCCGCACGACCAGGGTCAGAACAAAGGGAGAAATAAGTTCAGTTAAAATGGAGCCAGGAGACTCTTACAGAGATTGCTCCTCTGAAGAGGAGACGGGCGCTCAGGCTTCAGCAGTCACAGGCTGGAAGGAGGAGGGGAAGATTGCTCGAGAGGCGATAGGGGCACCCAGTCCCGTTACCAAACGCACCCGGTCCAAAAGAGATGGTGCAGAACAGGAGGAGCCTGCTCTAGAGGCACCCCTGAGGCAATTGCTATTGTCAGCAATCAAGGATTGGTTTATATAAAAACACCTTTCTCCCTTGGGGAATTACAACAGTGGAAGGAATCGGTTGGAYGGTATAGGGACAATCCAGAAAGAGTGGCTATGCGTTTTGAAACAGCTGTAAAGGCAGAAAATCCAGACTGGGGTGATCTGAATGTAATGCTAGATGAATTACTGGATAGCACAGAAAACGAAATGGTCACCATGGCTGCAATAGCTGCTATAGAGACCCAAATTACAGCTGGAACCCTTCAAGGACCTGTAAATGACATCTTCCCTTTATCAGATCCAGGGCGGATCCCAAAGTGCCAGACCAGATGGCCAAATAAAAAGGATATAAAAAATGGGTGGTCCTTGGGTTGAAATGTGCTATTCCTAAAAGAGTGAATTGCTCCAAATTGTATGAAATTAGGGAAGATATAAACGAGTCCCCTACATACTTCCTGAATAGGCTCAAGGAAGGTGCATGGAATTGCATAAATCTGGATCTTGGATCCCCCTGTGCAGCAGTCCCCTTTGGCCTTTCTGTTTATAGGCCAATCTGCAAAGGACATAAACAGAAAGTTGCACAAAATGTATGGGACATATGACATGAGTGCATTGATGAATGCAGCCTGGAAAGKGTATCAAAATAGGGATTCAACAGATACACAAGATGAAAATCACCACTAGAAAAAAAAAAGTGAACCACCCTAACTCACTTGACAGTGTGGTCAAAAAGGTGTAGGGGTTTGCTACAACCAAATGAAGRTTTTTTAGAGAGGTGTTCAAGTGACTAAAGAAGTGAACGATTGCCTTTGGTAAAAGACCCTTGTGTGATATCTCACCTCCCCAAACCCCTGCCCTCTCCACCGCGAAACTGCCCTTGAACTAATCAGAAACACTGTCCATACCAGGACTTTTGTAGCCCAACCAAGGAAGGGGACAAGAGATAATGAGTCATCCCCTGATAGCCTAGGAATGTTACTTGTCTGAAATAGCCTGAGCAGAGCAGTATTATGCTTACAGATTCTTGAAAATTTCCAGTAATTACTGTCTTGGGTTGTAGCCAGGATGGAGACTGGTTGAGAACTGAAGTCAGTCATCTTATGACTCTGTAAACAGTGGTCCTAAGTGAGGCCCTTTGAACTGCCCTGCATAACAGCAGGCTGCAACAGATCTCCCTGCAGGAGGAACATCTCTCAGTTGAGTAATCCTCAGGTTGAAAGAGCTATTCAATGGGACCCACTGGCCTCAGAGTGGAAGTGGAACAGAGGTGGCAGATCTTAAAGTGTGCATTCCCGAGAGCAAGAGTTCTATACACTACTCCAAGTTGCATTAGGGGCCAAAAAAGCTCAATCTCCTAATATAACTCTTACATGCAAAAAATGAGGGAAGAGTCAGTGTGGCTGATTAGTATTGYAAAGTGATTATTACTACCTTTCACACTAAGTTCAAGTAGCCTTGTAGGATTGTATGTATTACATACAGGCATCAGATATTAAAATATTAATCCATTGTTATTTTATTATAAGGCTTGGCCTAGGTTATGCTTGATTTGACTCAGCTTTGGAGACTTTACCTATTGCAGGTTTTATGCCTTTTTCTTTTTTTGTAAGCAACTTAATGCTCAAGGTATTGTGAGGAAAATTAACCCAAAAGCACCAGAAGTTTTTTTATCCAAAAAGGAGACAGAAGAGTCCTGCAACTTTATTAATGGATAGGTCATGGGCATTTCCCAYGGGGTCTCTCAAATTGCTAGAGGACACAGCCTCTTTTATCCCAATTTCCCAGCCGCAGTTCCCTCCCTCTTTCCCCAYTGGCTGAGGTACTTGAGAGGTACAGGCTCCCCAAWATGCCTGATGAAACCCCCCTTCTATCATACATTCCCTCTTTGAATATACATCTCTATGCCTCTGCTCTTGTAGTTTATTAACATGGTCTGGGGTAAGTCGATCAGTGGAATTCCTATGGAAATCCTTCCCATTGTTTCCTTCTATCTCCCAGTATCAGCCTTATCTTACCCCCAGAGTCAGTTTGTTTGTAAAGACACTCCCTTCTCATTCCTTTCAGTATGACAAAGAACTTTGAATAAAACTAAATGCAGAGACATAAGCATAAAAGTCCCTACATGAATGAACAAACTATTCTGGTAATACTCACTCTTGGCTGCAAATATAAATGTAATGAATGGCTTCTATATTCCAGTTCCCATCTGACTTTAACAGTTCATTTATTTTCATTTTCTAAAATCTCTGGTACGTAGGAGATTAAGAGAGTACTTAGTAATTCATTAAATTATATAATTTTCTAGTATAGACCTGTAGAGCTTTTTGAATTCTCATTGTGTTGCCMTGATCAGGACTACAGCTTGAATTGAAGCCAAAAATTGCTTTTAATCATTTGGTATCGAGGTATTAATGAGCTCTGCAGGYATTCCAAATACAAATTTTTGCTCTTCAGCTATATATGGCTTAATCCATTCTACTTTTCCTAATGTGATGTTCAATATCCAATTTTCTCCTCATACTAAAATAATGTTTCCAAAAGGTTAGAGGAATACTTTTTTGCATCACAAAAGAGACCTTGCCAAATTTTCTTTTCCTGATGTTAGGTTACTATCYAATCCCATCCTGAAATTCGATAACCTGACAATAAATACTTTCTCCCAAAATCCCAGATAATGAACTATGCTAGTTTGTATATTCTGATTTGTGTGTGTGTTTCCTRCTTGTGATGTACAAGATTTTTAAGACCAAGCATCTAACATCAGGCCAAATAATTAATATAATTACACTTCAAAACCTGTGCAATTAGATTGTAATTATTGTAACGTTAGAAAGGTGGTGTAGAAGGATGCTCTAAGAGGGGTAAAACAGCTTGAACTTTGTCCTGTTAGCAAAAGGTATCAGCGGTGAATGCAGGAGGAGGGTCATGGTACTTTTGGTGTTGAGGAATGCTGAGATCAGCCTCACTCAACAATTCAAAGTTCAATATCCTGAGGATGTGCAGAACAATGCTTCCTGAGAGAAACTGGCAATGGTGAGGATGTGGCTAAGTTCCTGASAAAGGAATTAAGTAAAACTGCTGAGCTGAAGGCTGCTGAGCTGACACAGCTCACCTAGAAACATCTGGCTGACAACCACTTTATATGTAAGTGGTATATATAACAGCTCAGTACCACTTTTTAATGGACGCACTTCTGACACACCCTTTCCCTTTCCAGAGTGAGTGWATAAAGATTTCACCCTCAATTGAAACACCCCTCAAGGTTACTTCTCTATGAATTTTTGATGTCATTAGCATAGAGGAATTTCTTAAAATGTAACATTTTTCCATAGACCAGAATTTCTGTTTACCAACTATTAAATCAATAACTGTAACATGAGTATTATTGAAGGCTCTCTAAATCAGTTAGGACCATTACTGGAAAAGTTGTTAATTTCTTGYTGTCTAATGTATTTGTCTATCTGTAAACACATCCAGGGGCTGTGTGTGGGGTAGGCAACAGAAACGATTTTAGATTGAATCATTCACTCAGTCTGGAGTCCTGGCCAAAGGAAGTGAGACATGGCAGCTGTCCATAACCTTCCTCTCCCCTCAAAAATACCTATCCAATAGTCACTCCTTCCCCAGGTTTATGTATTTCTTTGAATACAGAGTTGCAGTGTGGTTTTTTAAAAGAATCCAGTCATAGTCAATAATAAAACAAGTGTGGTCTTCGGTGTGTAGGAACTAGCCAATGCATTAAATGGAAGGCAGGTTACGGGTTTCAACACAACGTGAATAAGAGGTGTGAGCGTCAGGCAAGGCAAGACAGAGGGCAGGTTACCTGGTCAAGGTAGTTGGAGTCAGTAGAGTCCTACTTTTCTTCCTTGAGCATCAAAATGCGACATAAGACAACCCGTAACAGGGTCTGGATTTGGGAAGAGGAACCGAGAGACCAAACAGATTTAATTCACAAGGTTATTGGAAATACAGACTTCGGAGGTCAGTTTTATGAGAAAGGCCTCGCTACAACGGTGTCATTCCTGACGAGCAGCCCGGTGCACGCCTCCATCTCGTCACTCTGACTCCCCCCCGGGCTGCCGTGGGCCGGCCCGGCCTCCCCCGAGAGCAGCAATGGTTCGTCCCGGGCAGGGCGGGACAGCGCTGAGTGCGCGGTTCCCTTCCGGGTTGCGGTGCGGGCGGGCGCTCTGTGGTTGCCCCTCCCCGCCGAAGCTCCGGCCCGTCGCGGGCGGGCGCAATGCGCAGGCTCGGCCCTTGCCTCAAGATGGCGGCGGTGGCGGATAAACAGAAGCACGAGCACGGGCGGGTGAAAATCGGGCATTACATCCTGGGGGACACGCTGGGCGTCGGCACCTTCGGGAAAGTCAAGGGTGAGCGGCGGGAGCGTGGCCCGGGGCGTGTGGCGGCCCGTGAGCGGGGCCCGGCGGCGGGAGCCCCGCTCGGAGCGGGCACTGGCTCGGGCTGAGTTGCCGGGGTGGGACTTGCGGTCCCGCGGCGGGAAGCGGCGTCTGAGGCAGAAACAGCTTCCTCGTCTGTGCCTGCGGAAATAACCGCTGGAAACTCGGTGCTGCGTTTGTTTGGAACGGCACTGGGCACGCAACGAAAGTAGCGAGTCTAAATTCTCGRGTTGTCTTATGTCACATTTTGATGCTCAAGTACGAGCTCTCGGTGCCCTTGTAAGGAAGGCAAGATTTCTTTCTCTGCAAGCGGTGAAATAAGCGTAAAAAGATGCGTGTGGGATTGTTGGATTAATTGGTAACATAGTTGATGCACAGATACGGAAAAACTTCACGCTTAATCTGCTTGACCAGTGGTTAGCAAAGTTTTTTTTCATCTCAGATKTTAAAAAAATTTCACTGTAGGGCTGTGGATGCTTATTTTAAGACTAGTGGAAATAAAATAGAAGTTTGACTTATGCTTCACATAAGTCTATGCCATTCATAAAGATGTAAGGATTATGCATTAGTTTACACTGTTCCTGAAGGGTTGCTTGTGAAAACTTCAAATATTGGGGCCAGCTAATCAAAAACATCCTTTTTCAAATGAGTAGAGCTAGGCTCTACTCAATACCTTATGTATTCATAAGGTTTTTTTTTCTTTTCGTTAGCTTTTTAAGTGTATGTAAAACCCATCTTTTGTTTTCAGTGCAGATAATCCATTGTATGTGCTCTGCAGGAGCTCTTTTCACTGTTGACATATTCTGAAGAAATTGCTAATGTATAGGACATAGGATGATATTTTGCTGTAGGAAAACAATAGAAAGTATTTCAAGAGCAGAGCACTTAGAGTCTCTTTTTCAAGGTAAGCTTATAAACGGACAGACCCAGCCACTTGGGAGTGGTGACCCCCGCAGCTGGCAGCTGGGGTTCCATTCTTTTCCTGAGAAACACAGATCTTCCTTGAATAGAGAAAAAAAGGTAACAAAGATGACAGGCGATAGGTTCTTTTTCCTCATGGAGGGACCACATGGTTGAGGGGAGAGATCAAAGATGTGTTTGTTTTGTGTCTTATTACCCGGCACATTGCACAAAACTGAGATTGCCATACCATCAATGTTCTAATATGATACTAAATGTGGAGAGCATTGTTGCATTACTGCTTTTCTTGTCCTCTATATGTGGGGACCAAAGTCCTCATACTGTGTTAGTTTTGTCTTGCTTCAGCTGTGCTTAACAAAGAACATTTTATCTGTAATGCACTGGTTTTCCTCTTGAGCACACAATTTCTTTATTTAATGCCAAAACTGCAATTGTTTTCCTGTAATCCTCAKAATTTCCTTCTCTGGTGATATGTTTCATCAATTGACGTAAAGTGAAAAACTTAAAAATGTGTTCAGTTCTTAAAATTCAATTAGGATTTACGCTGAGCTTAYGTGATGTAGGGGGTCAGGCATATGGGTTTCTTGAAAGAGAGTGTTTAATTTTAACAGTKATGGCAGCCTGAAAAAAATCAAACTGGAAAATCAGCACTTCACTTGGTAATTGTGAAAGGTGTCCTGCTATAGMTGTCAGATGAATTCACATTGCTTGTAGCTGTCACTGGTGTGATTCTGTCCAGTTTATCTGTTCACCTGCAGTGCCAGTCTGAATTAACGCTGAGTGTCTTGGTTCACCTGAGAATGCGCAGTCACAGAGATGGTTGCTCCTAACAAGCATCTGGGCAAAGCTACAGTGCCACAGAAGTGAAAAAGCTGAGGGGGAGCTGAATCTAAACCAATTGTGTGACACACATTCATGTTCAGACTTCACCGTGATTCAGTGTAAAACATCTATTCCTAATTCTGTCAAATGTTTTAAACACTGCTAGTGTTTTCTAATGAAACCAGCTGCAAAAATTTTATTTTCAGATTTTTTTTGAGTTATCTTTCATAAAAGGAAGAGTACTCAGGCTTCCAGACATCCATACTGAGAATATAAGGGATATTACTTAAGGCTCTAAATATACAGTAGTTATTCCAGATCTCTAGATCTAGGTTATCAATACTGGTCTATATACCCTGAAGAGACTTGGAAATGAACAATGCAGATCAGTATGGTATCTAATATTGTGCAGCAGTATGGCATTGCACATCATGAACTATTGTGTGAGGGTTTTTTTCCATGTTAGGTCTTATTCTTCAAGAATGCTTTCCTCTGAGCTTTGGATCGGCTTTTTGGCTTCTGCAGAATTGTTTCATTAAATACAGCATAGGCTTCTTCAGATTTTTTTCCCATACAGGCTTAATGACTGATACCTGCATTTTGTGAGAATGTTGTATTTGGTCTGCATGGCCTTRTAATCAGTTTTTTTCCAATGGAGGAGCTGTTGAATAAGGTTAGAGACTGTTCCTCCTGCATTTCTACAGTTAAAAACAAGTCGCTGCTGCTTGAGACTGCCACTGTCATGAAAACGTTACTGCTGTGCAAAGCTGCAGTGAAGCCTGAAGGCAATTGGTATTATCAGAAAATAAAGAAATATAGGGATATACTAGGTCTGTTAAATGAATTTATTTTTCTTGTAGTGATTATTTTGAAGGACAGATAGCTGCTGGAGGATTAGGGTATGTTCCCTTTTATAGGTAAAACTTCTGTCAGGCAGTAATGCAAAGTAGCTTTCAGAAAGATAACACTGGCTGCTTACGTTTCTACATGATGTTATCATCTGGGGTGATGCTTTCACTTCTGTCCTAATGTTGAATTCAAAAGTGTCAGCAGTCTGTTACTGGTGAGTATCTGCTGTTTTACTGGTAACAGATACCTTGAACTGTATCCAGGAAAACAGTTTTGTTTCATGATGTGGGTGGTTATTGGAAACTTGCATCTTAAAAGGTTAGAATTGTTATAATTTCAAATTGAATTAAAGGCAGGTGAAAATCACTGAAGATTGAATTTGAAATATCTTAAGCAAGAGAACAGGCTTATTGGGCACTTTCTGCACCTGCCCCGAAACACAGTATGCTTTCATTACAGTAATTTATTCAAAGCTGGTACAGAAGAAGCAGAAAATCTTGTTTTCTCTCAGTCAGTGAATAAAATTAAGGCTTGAAGGCTGTGACAGCTAGAATTGGTTTTAGTCAACTGCAAATGTTACTGTTTAATTACTTTGAATGAAAAATTTGTTTTGAAAAGCTCTTTTCAAATATGYCTTGCATATGGAACATCGATTGTAGCGAATGAATTACTTTCTAATGTTTTTCTGAGTGCTAATGAAATTCCAGTTTAAGGTAGACTTACAGACTAGAAATAAAACAAATCGGCCTAAAAATGAGATTTTATAATCCAATGCATATCAGAACTGTATATTCATATGCTAAGCTGTAGATTTGGTCARATATATATGTTATTGCTATATTAAACAGCTTCTTCAGTGTACATTGTACAGCATAAGAGGATGCAGGTTCAGGTGTCTGACCTATTTTTGCTTTGTTTCTAAGAAGCTATTTCTAACAAAAACAAATGTTGCATTTTAACTTACTCATTAAAGTTGGTTTTTTTTTCCCAAATACTTCTGGTTCATTTCAGTTCCCATTATGGATGTKCAAAGACTTTACAATTAGAATAGTTTTAGCATTTTTTTCGGAAGAATCTTTACTCCTGAGGGTTTGAGTATAGGTCATATAATTTGTTTGGTTCCTTTAAAACTTCAGGCACWTTAGAAGAAAGCAAAGGGAATGTGGTTGCTTTAATTGTAGATCTGTTTCAAAGCAAATAATYCTCTTACATTTCTAGGCACTCACCTGTCAATGTTTAGTGGTCTGCCTAGAACTTGCTATGGATGTGAGCTTTGTCCTGCATTCCTCACAGTGCGAATGTGCCTGCCCCGAACTTTATTTACTGTGGCCATTGTTAGGTAATGGCCCCTCTGAATGAGGGGATGTCTTTTCATCCTAGTAAGAGCTCATCTGTGTCTTCGGGTACCAGGTGTATCTCAGTGCAGCATTGTGATGTTCAGGGTCTTGGGTAATCTGCTGTTCAGTTCTCCAMAGGAATTTAGACTACTTCATTTTGCATGGTGGCTGTCTTGTAAAAATAATCACTCARATGCTTAATCGTTGTCTTTGTATCTCTGCTAGGAACTTCTCATTTGCACTGTGTTTTAGCTGGACATAAAGGCAAAAGGCAGCAGGAAGGTCATTTGTGTTGTGAATGAGATTTACAGATTGGTGGGTGTTTGTTCTATTCAGATTATCTATTAAACACAGAAAGATTTTTGTGGATCACTGCTGTTTAATCTCAGCTTCCTATGGATAYACTTAAACAAAGCTTGGAGCCTGGGGCATATTTAAATACTCCAGTGAGGATAGGCACCCGGATGAGTGGGTACTGTGTTCAGCACACTTCTGTTACAAATGTCTATTCATGTATACAAGGATGAACCATGTGGGTGTCCCTAGAATCTGGCTTATCTTCAGAAGGTAGGAATCAGGGTGGCAAATGAATGGTATTACAGTCACTGCATCAGCAGCCATGCAGACAGTGAAGCCTTTTAGTCAAAGAGRTACTTACCTTCTTGATGTTTCATCTGTGATCCTATTTTGGACTTAAGAAAAGTATTCTGATGAGCTCTGCTGTGTCTACTCCCAATAGCACTTGCAAAGTTAATGATTTTACAAGGAGAGGCTGTGAACTTGTTTACGCTTTGGAGATTCCTCTGTTTAGAGAACTTTGAAATTGTCCTCACTTTCCACTTCTGGGAATGGGTTAGATTGCACGTTTGCATTGCTTTTCATAATTTCTGTTTTATTTTGTGCATTTCTAGTAGCATTTGCCACTTTTAAAAACAGAGTAAAGCTCTGGTGTTAACTGCACAGACTGTGGAGCTGTCAGGCTGCTCCAAGGGCAGATACATTTTTATAAGTAAATGGATCAGATACTCATACTGGTAATTCGGAGCAATTGCTGAAACAGGCTTCTTGAGGGAGGGATRGGTGTGACTTCTTTAGTAAGAGTTATCCTGGCAGATAAAGTGGAAAAGATACAGGAGAATATATTTGAGTGGGTTGCCAAGTAAGCCAAAAGCTCGGAGTGACTTACACRGGGAAAGAAAATGCTCTCTTTAATTAGCAAGGATGGGAGGGTTTGAGGATATGCTTTGTTTTTTTTTCCCCCAAATTGCAAAAAATGTCGTACTGCAAGACTTCTCTACTGTAAGATTTAAGGTGTTTCTTTTATATGTATGTTATCTAATGATAGAATTGTGGGAGAAGTTGAAGTAGAACTGAAGAAATCCCATRCCATCTGGTTTTCAACCTCCCCAAAGATAATAGGGATATGTGGAATGCTAATGTCTTAACTTGGCTACATTCAGAAAGGGGAAATAATGTCTTAATTGAACAATTKAGAACCCTGACTAAATACTTCCTTGTTTCTTGCAGTTGGAAAACATGAGCTAACTGGCCATAAAGTTGCCGTGAAGATCCTGAATCGMCAGAAGATTCGCAGCCTTGATGTTGTAGGAAAAATCCGCAGGGAGATTCAGAACCTCAAACTCTTCAGGCATCCTCATATAATTAAGCTGTAAGTTTTGCTTACTATAATCAAACTTAGGCAGTCGTCTATTTTTGCTGTTACTGATGGGAAGTGTGATTAAAGGGCAATACTACAAACAGTATCTTGTCTGAAAAGTAACCAGCTTCAAAGCATGCAGCTGTGCCCTCTGTGTTTTCACAAAGCTGATGTTTACTGCAGGCTGGAGAGCTTCCATTAGATCTTTGCTTAGAAATTCTTTGGACAGGTATATAAAACCTAATGTCATGACATGTTTCTGGTGGCATTCATCTCTGGCTACTACATTMTTCTTTTTCTGTTTATATTTGATCTTTTTTTCCTACTTAGAAAATGAGTTACTAAGAACAAGAGTGTAAAGGTCATTTCTATAGTGAGTTTATTGTACTCTCCCAAGATGTTTTTAGAGATGTGCTGGTCAGTGTTGTATGTTTTTTCTATATAGGTGGTGCTCTGCAAGATTTTATGAATTAAGGATGTACAATTTGATGAATGTGATTGCTATTTCAGAAATCTTAAATATAACAGCTACCCTTTGTCTGAATGTAATATTTGAAATATGCTTGATTACGTCTCCTTGTTGATCAACGGTTCATCAGCAGATTTCAGAGTGCACCTATGTCCCAGAGTAGACCCCTAATGTCTGGTCTGTGGAAATGAATTATAAGTAGCCTTGATTTTCTTTTGACTCTGATTTCCCATTAAGAAATTAGTGCACTCRCCAGAGTGCAGGTGACTTCCACTGTCTTAGTCATTATGTGGGTGGTTTTTTTAATTGGTAGAATTTTGTGTTTGGACCCCATTTATCACTGGCAGATGCCATGTCTATGTACTCCCTTTAATTTTGCAACAGCTGTTATGCTGAAGCTAAATTACGTTGTGTAACATCAACTCACTCACTTTTTCAGTGGGTTGGTTTTCAGAAGGCTGTTGAGCTGATTTGTCAGCAGAATTGCAGTGCTTTTAGTTAATGTGTGAGTGAGTCCAAAGGCCATACCTAGAGCCAGGACAGAATAGGATGTGTCAGTGCACCAAGTGACCTATCAGGATGAAAGAGGAACGTGTGTTTGAGGTGTTGTTGAACTGAAGACAATGTAGCAGATTTCAGATGACAGTTTCTTTCTCAGGGAATTAAGGGGAGATTTTTTTCTCTAGCGTGTGAACTGCTGTAAAGGGAGCAAATGAAACAATTTTTAGGTGAGGATGTATAGAAAAAGTCAAAATCTCTTGAATTGTGAGTTTGTTCATGAACTAGTTATTTCAAAGCTTCAAAGTTAGGTTTTTTAAAATTTAATTGAAGTAGAATGGCAAAATATAATAACTAAATACTGGTACTCTTAAATACGATTATTCATTATTATAATGAGGATTTTTTCCTAGTTTGAAAGTACGCTTTTTTATTTATGCAAGTGAATTTTTTTGCATGTTGAAAAGTGTGTAGTTTTGTAATTAAAGTGATTTAATTACAAAACTAGCAAAGTTACAAAAGTTACAATAGTTACAAAATCAGCAAAGTGATTTTGAAGTCCTTTTTCAATGCACCGAGGTGTTGGTGAGGCACCACTGTAAATAGTCTTTAGAAGTCATTTGTACCTCTGAAAGAACAAGGACTGATATTTCTGATAGGTATTATAAATTTTCTGCTAGTCTTGGCAATGTCATCAGACAGTGAAAGGAGAGGAAATAACTTCTGAAAAATGTTGTTATTCCAGTAACTGTAGACTGGTTGATAGCTATTATAAAGTTTATTTTTTATCTGATTATTTGCATGACTTCATTTTTAACTAAATACAAATAGTGTTTTACTGTGTGTGTAGACTAACAGATACCTTCTCTTATCAGGTACCAGGTCATCAGTACACCCACTGACATTTTCATGGTGATGGAATATGTTTCAGGAGGAGAACTGTTTGATTATATCTGTAAAAATGGAAGGGTAAGAAGTGGTCCAACTCTGCAAATAAGTGACTTGCATTCTGTTACTGCATTTACAAAATTCCTGTGTCACCCTGCACAGAGGGGACACATAGGTTCTTTTTGAGTGTGGTTGTCAGAATGATACAATTAAAGGTTTGCTTTTCTCAAAAGAATACTATGATTAGTGTAGCACAGGATCTATGATTAGAGTGTCACAGTTTTTCTATRAGCATGTAATCAATGTAATACAATTTATAAGTAGTGTGGTACTGAATTTTTAACACAGCTTAACTCAGGAATATCTATTCACCTAGACTCTCTGTAGATGTGGTSAAATCTTAATACATATTTTACTGTATCAATGTATTAATCACAGTCTGCCCTTGAAAATCAAATAGAAGAATACAAGTCACTCAGTCCTCAGAGGAAGCAGAGTGTGGTGGAGACATCTGTGGCCACCAAGAAGTCCCAGATTTCATTCTGATTTAGGACTTGTAACTGTTTGATGTTAAAGACACTGCTCTGGCTGCTGTTTCAGTTCCATATGCCATGACAGAGTCATCTATGGCTGTGTGCCTGGGCACTAAAGGCTGGTAAGGAAGCAGGTAATCCGCCTGGCACTCAGGAAATTCGAGKCTGGTAGGGAGGGGAAGAAGAAAACTGGTTTGTCTACTTGTTTCACAGGACCTCCAGGGCCTGATAATGAGGGAGAGAGCATGAACAKGTGACTTGCATGGTCACAGAATGGCTGCTTGTCTCATAAAATGGAGTTAATTAAGCTAACCATGTTATCAGGGGCTAGAAGCAAAGGGTACTGGTCATTGTTAAATGAAGCTGTGCTTTCTTGTATTTGGTTTTAATTTTGCTGCTATCAATGAAGATTTATGACTGCTTTTTTTGAAGGTACAAATGGTTATATGTTACCACATTTCAGATCTTCATGTATGACTATGTCGTAGCATTTTTCCTCTCTACTAATCTGTTAATTACAATGGCTGGTTATAAACCAGATGGATATGTGCCCAGTTGGAGTAGCTGAAAATTATTTCTTTGGTATCACCCATTTTTGGAAGGCTACTATTGTGCCCTTTCTACTGTCTTTTGCTATTAGAACAACTTCTGTGAAGGATCTGAAGTCACTTTTTGCCAACCATTTAGATATATAGGATAGTTCAGTTGTTAGGACAAACTGATGTGGATTAGGGATGTTTGTAGGAAATGCCCAGCTAAATCTGCTGTTTGGGACTAGGTGCTGGTAGCAAAAATAGCATCTGAAATTTATAATTTCTGCTGCATTTCAGCAGTTTTTGCCAGCTTAAATCTTGCACTTTGCTTAAATGTCAAAGTTCATTGATATTCCAATTAGACAAAGTTAATACTTGAGTGGTGATGTTTCCAGTTAGTGAGTAAATAACATCTGCCAAATTCAATTTCAAAAGTGTGATTAARAAATTACAGTGACTTTCTGAGTATGTTTTTAGTCATTTTAGGACTGTGATACAAATAAAATGATGTAAGATATGATGCATCCTGCTACAAGTTCTGAMAATCTGCTTATAAAGTATCAAATGATAAGATAAAAGATAAGGTAATGGGAAAATTTCCTCTGGCTAGTAAAAATGAAAAATAGGTTAACTTCCACTGTTTCCTAATTATTTAAAATGTTTGTCTGTTATAGCTTGATGAGAAGGAAAGTAGACGTCTGTTCCAGCAAATCCTTTCTGGTGTGGATTACTGTCACAGGCACATGGTAGTACATAGAGATCTGAAGCCTGAAAATGTGCTGCTTGATGCACACATGAATGCCAAGATAGCTGACTTTGGTAAGCATTGCTTTTTTTTTTTTTTTTTTTTTTTTTTTTTTTTTTTTTTTTTTTTTTTTTTTTTTTTTTTTTTTTTTTTTTAGTATCTGATTGCAATTGTGGTGTTAGATTCTGTTAATTACTATGGGAAATATTAACTAAAATATGTATACTTGAATATCTGGGGGTGGGATACAAGAGAAGAACATGAAGAGTATAAATGGAAAGTAAAATAATGTTCTTGCACATTTTTTGAGCTTGTTTTCCTTTCAGGCTTTCTTTTGAAGTATTTTCTGTGACTGGCTAAAACTGTGAACTAATTACTTCGTTTTTGCATAACAATATTTTCTCTAAAATGCTAATAAGTCTTAGTTTCTGACCTKTCCACTTCAGAACTCATCTGTCTGTTTCACCATCCATAAAATGTAGATGCTTAGCTCTCTTGGAAGGACAGTGCAGGGGTAATTCATCATCTTTAAGAAGCTCCAGTGCTATAGAAAAATACGCTAGTCCTCCTGTTAAATCGCTCTGAATTCTTTGAAGATGTGAGTAAGGTTTGTTTGTGCTGGCTGTTCGTGACCCAGCTGCAGAGAAGCCTTGCAGCTAGTTCTTGGAATCATCTGAGTGAGGAAACCTCACTGCATAAACATGGAAAGGTATCCATGTTGCTGTGTCGTGATGGGTGTCTTGCAGACATAGTGGGTAATACCTGCTCTTGCAAGTCTCCAATAAAAGGTGTTAGGCAATGCTTTGGAAATCATATTGATTTCTGTGTGTAGAAAATACCTTGGGTGAAATGGATCACATGGTGAAGAAATGAAATACAGTAACTTACAGAAATAGCTTCCTGTAACTTAGTGTCAGTAAAACTGTAGCACTCAGTTAATCATGTCTGGTGTATTAAATAAGAGCTTAATAAAAACTTACGAAAGCTAGCCAAGCTGTACTCTTTATTCTCCACACTCCCTGCTGACCCGTAAAAGGGCATAATTCCTTCTTGGAGACTTAGTTCTTTGGCTTAGGGTAGTCTTGATCATGCAGCCTCCACTGAGAAAACTAGAAGGTATTTTCCACAACCGTTGGACTATACTGAGTGCTGGTGAATGCAGGTGACTGAACTCTGAAGCACACTTCTGTTGCTTACAGAGTATCTGAAAACCAAACTACTGAACTTCAGTGATGCAGGAACCAGGTGCACAGTGTAGGGYGTAAATTGTGGTAGTCATCCTCTATTTCATTATTCTGGAGCCTCTAACAGAATTTTAGGGAATTCTGTGATAGCATTTTCCGCTTCAGCAGAAAATTTTAGAAGCAAATAAGGTTTTTAGTACTTTCTTGTTAATGAGCAAAATCCTATCTTGCTATACTGCTTCATCTCCCTTAGAGCAACCTTTTTCTCTGTCATGCATGTGTTATCCAAATTAAACTGTTTTAGTCTGGGAATGAGTATGTTCTTACATTCTAGGCTATGGGCAGTAATGGATTGATGTTACTCAGAATTCTGGTAAAATAAATGGAAGATTATGTGGCATGCTCATATAAAAATTCTATTATTCCAAGCAATGTTATTTCTTAACTGGAATAAATTCATTAATTTTCTAATTTGAATCACTAGTAGTTTGTTCTAAGTGGTATATGCAGTGTGAAATAATTTTGCTCCCTGAATTTTTAGTAGTTACTCTTATACACTTTCAGGTCTATCAAATATGATGTCAGATGGAGAATTTTTAAGAACAAGCTGTGGTTCCCCTAACTATGCTGCACCAGAAGTAATTTCAGGAAGGTAGTTTCTTTTATATTGGATACATGTGTGCATGTACTTCAGTCATTTTACTGCTTGATTCTAAAGGCTACAAWATTCGTTCAGTTGACAGGCTTTATGTTGAGAAACTAAGGACTGTTAGTTGTATTGATAATTTTTCATGAGTGTTTAAAGCTTCTGTGAGCTAGCTTTGAATAGTTCCTGTGAGGCAGAAGTGATGTCTAATGCCCCAAATCCATTGGGTACACTGCCTGAATTGATTTAAAAATCCCATGTATGGRTCAGATCTTGGAAGCAGAGGTGCAGAGTTACAGGCAAAATCTGCTGTGAAATTGAGTAGTAATGAAATATCTGCAGAGTTAATAGTCTGGGGGTAACTTCTCTTTTTGTGAACTATGATTGTCAAATGTACTTTCAGCTACCTACCTTTATATTGCCTTTTGTTGACTGGGCAACTGTTTTATTCAGGCGGTGGCACAGAATTACGTGACATTTACTGCAGTATGGACTTGTCAAACTTTTCAGTCACAATTTGGGAGATAGGTGACTATCTCTAAACATTTAGAGAGACGTTCCTCTAAAACATTGATAATAATATATGACATGGGCTTTTGTAGTAGTAGATGCATGTTTCTTGCAGGTTGCCGTTGTGTGAAATTGCGCAGTGGATTGTTACACAGTAGAGAGGAAAAACTGTACTTGTGCCCTGTTAGATATCAGGAAAGGCTACTGAATATCAAGGGAAGCATAGCATAGAACTGAAATGATATAGTTGTCCCAAGTTCATGTGCTTTTAATTACTGTGATATAATTCAAAAATGAGAGAAAAAAATACTTAAATGTATTAAACACAAATCACTAATAGTTAATATTTTTCACAGGTTATATGCAGGTCCAGAAGTAGATATTTGGAGCAGTGGAGTTATTCTCTAYGCTTTGTTATGTGGAACGCTTCCATTTGATGATGATCATGTGCCAACCCTTTTTAAGAAGATATGTGATGGTATCTTTTATACCCCTCAGTACCTGAATCCGTCAGTAATTAGTCTTTTGAAGCACATGCTGCAAGTGGATCCAATGAAGAGAGCAACAATCAGAGACATCAGGTAAAATACTAGGTGATGTCTGATCACAAGATGCTTCCGTAACAATAATTTAAATATGCAGAACAAAGAAATTACTCAAACAGGTTGTCCACGTTTTTTAGACTGAGATGAAAAATTCAGCTTCTGATGGCTTGGTTTTTGTTCTGATAGTGCTSATCTCCAGTGGACAATGAAGTATCTATTGGAGATCACAGCAAAACAAATTACTATATTTACGATTGCCATAGCMAAGCTATTTACTTGCATAATGGTTTGCAAAAATTGCACTATATAGACTKTGCTGGGGAAAAGAAATTGTCTTTGCTTTTAGGATCCAGTGCTCTGTACTGTAAATGTCTGAGGAAGCTCTTKAATCTGCTTTGATTTGTATTTCTTTGAACTTTGAAAAGTCATTTGTTAAGATTGTGAATATTCCACATGTAAGATAACAATTTCTAGCTTCAAAACACTGGCATGAATTTGTGTCTGAATGGGTATTATTTCACCAAATACTCCTAAGTTGAAGTTTATAGGTAGAGATAGGCATCATGGGCTCCAGATTCCAAGAGAAGATTCTGGAGAAGTGGATTGTGTTGACGAATGTGCACTGGGACAAATATTGTGTTGACAAATGTGCACTGGGACAAATACTGTGTTGACAAATGTGCACTGGGACAAATTAAAAAAAAAAAAAAAGGTAGCTGAGAGAGCTACACTTTAGCAACAACTTAATTTTCTTTGCAAGAAGCTCTCAGGAAAGAAYGTTGCTATACTACCGTAGTGAAAATGCTGCTTCCTTTAGGGTTGGAAGTTGAGAAATCAGCAACGTTCCTGTTTTCTCATGAACAAAAACTGTGGCACACGTGTGTCCCTTACTGCTTTATTACAATGGGAAGTAGTTTCTTTCAGAAAACTAAGAAAAAGTGGGAAAACTAAGCATTGTAAAATTTGAGTGGGTGGGAACTTAACTTAYCTCAGTTGTGTTATAGATGTCTGGAGAAGAAACACATGTTGAAAAATGTTGGTTACAAAACATGGATGKATTTTGAATCCGGAACAATTGTGTCCTATTAGCCGTGTGACATATCATTTCACAGTTTAAAGGGCAAACTGAGTTTGATTGAATGCCTTAATTCTTTTAGGAGTTGCATGTATGTGCATGCAAGGGGAAAGGCCCGGTGCCATGAACAGTAACAAAATGTTCCTCTGGGTTTGGTCATCCCAGCTAGGGCTGAGCCTTGTAGTGGCATGGGAAAACATTTTTCTGCTTCCAAACTATTTTTCTGATTAAACTATTTACCTCAACACGTTTGTGCTGAGGTGCAGTGTTCTCAGGATCACATTGAGTATAGGTTAAGTGCACTGTGCTGRTTTGGGCAGGAATAGAGTTGAAACGTTTCACAGTATCTTGTATGAGGTTGTGTTTTGGATTTGTGCTGAAAATTGTCTTGATAACAGATGGATGTTGTAGCTGCTGCTCAGCAGGGCTTGCACAGAGCCAAAATCTTTTCTGCTCTGTCCCAACTGAGCAGGCTGAGGGTGCACAAATAATTGTGAGAGGACACTGCTGGGGCAGCTGACCCCAACTGWTCACAGTCATAGYCCATACAATATGGGGTTGTACTCCATAATAAAAATTGGAGGAAGGCTGATGAGGRTGGTCTGCTGGTCATCAGTCAGCTGGTGATGAGCAATTTCTTTTATTTCCATTACTTGCCTTTCTTGGATTTTGTTGTCACCCCTCTTYGTGGTTTTGGATTTTTTTTCCTTAGAATTTTTTAAAAGAGATTTCTAATTATCAAACTGTTTTTATCTCAACATGCAAGTTTTTTGCACTTCTGCTCTTCTGATTCTGGAGAATTCTGATTCCCTCATCCCATTGGAGAGGACGGAGCAAGTGGCTGTGTGGTGCTTAGTTGCTGGCTGGGGTAAACCATAGCAGTCATATTTGTTACCCAGTGTGGGGCTTGAAGGTGTTGAGATAGTAACAGATTTGAACAGAGCATAGTGGATAGAATTTGTAATTATTTTATCTGTATAATGGGTGTTGGTCAGTGTATTGATTTGTCTGTTCTCATATTCATTTATCTGATCTTTTCCATGTTCCAGTTTTTGCTATACACATTAAAGATTTGG